TCGTTATCTTTGAATCTACAGGGCCAAAAAGTGTTGTATGCACAGCTTTATAGAAAATTGTATTACCTTTTAAAAGCTTCAAACCGTTTTGGAATTGCTTAATTCGTTCTTGAGATATATATGATTATTTTTTTGCAAAAACGGTAAATTGCAAATATCTCAAAAACGGTACCATAAAATTAAAAATAACCTTGATTTTCGGAATCAGGGGGTGATTTTACATACGAATTTCATAACGGCGTCTCTGGTAAATTTTGGCCGTCGACCAGTGTATTTATCGATCAAGTGGAATGTTTTGGGTCAATTCTAAGTCTTGCTGAAGTTCTAAGATAAAAAAATTTAGTTTCGTTTTAGTTCCAAAGCAGCAGATGTTCCGGTAAGTTAATTTGTATCGTAAGGTTTTGCTACGTGTTAAGTTAGAAACTCTCCAAGGCTCATAAAAACTTGAAAAACTGTCGAATTTCGACAGTAACTGGCACTGTAGTTTGCATTAAACCACGGCAATGTGTCCTTGGCATAGTGGCAGCTTGCCATGTCCGCCTAGAACAGTGGCCTACTACCTTATCTGTTGATAAATGAAAGAAGACGCCTTTTGAGCCACTCATCCCGATAAACTTGATCATTCATTGTCCCAGATGGGAAAAAAGGGCTGCTCTTACGGCCACAAGAACAAATAGCTTGCCAAACCCTGTTGTTTTTTGGAAATTTGGACTTCATTTTCAGCTTACAGCTTTCAGGGGCATCTTGACGACTTGCAGCAGTATACAAATCTTGACCTGCAATATATTTTGAATTTTTAAAGCATTCGGTTTCGTAANATTTTTATAGCAGTAGGTTTCGCAGTCCATAACAATGCAGTTGTATTTTTTAATTTAGAATTCATACAACTTCCGAATGCGGGATTTCGCTGTAACATTCTACTTTGCGCCTCGGTCTGGCGCTGTTTGAGCTGTAGAACATCTCAATGAAGCTTTCCGCTTTACCTTTTGTACGAAAAACTGCGATCTCCGTACGGATTTTGCAACATAACGCGACAAAATCTTCGGATCTCGCGAAAACGCACTGAGGACCTTCCGAGCACTGTTTTCATCACTTTGACCACGCTAACCCCCGCTCCCTGGTTTTCTCGTAACTAACCGATTAAAACCCTGCAAACTGTCGAATAGTGCAATCTTTAATTTTTAGCAATTTTACGTGTACTCGTGCAAAATGGTTTGTCTCGTTTCTAACTCGGTTGCCATTTTTAACTCAACTAGGAATCAAATTCAAATGAAATTTCTTCTATGTCCAACTAAGGTCATGGTCAGCTTATGGTATTTGAATTTCAAAATATTGAAATCTTTTTGGGTAAGTTAAACCTTCCCAAAGTGCCGCAGTTTTGGTGTGTTCACCCTTTAGGTGAATTTTTATATCAGAATCTCATTTTTGAGAAAAGTGCAGAAGAGCGTATGGAACATAAGCCCTCGATACATATTATATAATATAAATTATACAGATATGCATAAAAAATGAAAGGTCTTCTAATTACCTTTCGAACAATATCCACTTTCTGAAAATCGATTCAATAACGCAGGGTTATAAAAAAAAGGTTTCTGCATATTAAACCGAACCTCTATATCCCTATGTTATTCGACGCGCTGAATGCGAGTCCGAGGTATGTTAGTCTCCACCACGTCAGGTTCGAGGTCATTTGAAGGTTAAATAGAAAAAAAAAGGTATTCCATTAAAATACAAATTCATATACATACATGGTTTTTTTTATCTCTGAATCCGAATATGGGGGTCCCTTTATCTAGGTTATCTAGAGGTCATGCCAAGGTCATCTCATGATCAAATTCAGAAGAATTGTATTGAACTTTCAGGTTTATTTAATGAATGTTTCCCTACTTAACCTTCAAATGAACTCGAACGTGACGTGATGGAGGACAACAGACCTCGGATTCGCATTCAAGGGGCCGGAGTAACGGATATAGAGGTTTGGTTTAATATGCAGAAACTTTTGTCTTTTTTGAAAACCTGTGTAATTTTCGAAAATATTGAGAATTTCACTTTTGACAAAATTTGTTTTTGCATTTTAAATACTTGGACTTGAAATTAGGGCTGTGCGATTATTCGATTACTCGAGCAAGTTGGTTAATCAATTATTCGGTTAATCAATTACTCGAGTAATCAAGATTTTGATTACTCAAAACGATGATTAATCGAGTTACTTGAAATATGATTACTCAAAAAAAATAATTTTGCTCGTTAAAAGAGTTTGCTTTGGAAAATGCTTATTTTCTTTTTTACATTCTGTATATGAAAAAATTTTTTGTTTTAATTTTTGAAAACAGAAACGTTGTTTTCAAAGTATCAAGGAACTTTAACTACTTTATACATATGTAAAGAGTTGAAATGTTGATTACTCATTTTACTCGAAATGTTGATTAATCATAAAGCAAATTACTCAAATATTTTTGTTTTTGGTTAATCAAAAATCTTGATTACTCGAGTAACTGAACTTTTGAGTAATCATAATTTCCAATTAATCGAATAATTGAGTTATTTACTTTATGATTAATTAAAATTTTGAGTAATCAATTAATCGCACAGCCCTACTTGAAATACTTAACATATCTGCTACTTAAGTTCCCTCTCTTCCTGTAATGACCCAAACCTTCACTTGGGTTGCTCATATTAAAGATGGGCGCGGGATATCGGTACCCGCGGGACCATGGTACCGACTTCAAAATGGCCGGGATAAGCGGTATAGGGGAGGTCTGTGAAAATTTTGCGGACGGGACCAAAATCCTTTCCCGACACTGTCGATAAAATCGCAACTACCGAAAATTCAGAAAATCTTCCTTAAAAACGTTGTATGAAATNGATCACATATATGTATCTCGCTAACCGTTCTAGCAATTTGTACCAAGCTCGGTATGGTTATTGTGCTTGCCACATAAAAGCAAACCGTTGAAAATTGTTGAAATCGGACTAAAATTGAGGCCGCTTTTCATATAACGGTAAATTTCAGATATGCTTGAAATTTCAATATTTCGAAATTTAAGGACGCTAATTTACTTAAAATGTATACACCCCGGCTTATCATGTAGCGGTAGCTTTCGGAAAGGGGGAAAACATATATTTAATACTTGCGCCGGGTATTTAATGTTCGGCTCCGCCCGAACTTAGACTTTCTTACTTGTTTATGCTTTTTTTTTGTGACGAAAACGGACAGCAAAGTAAAACAAAATAATCGGAAGATGCCAGATCTTTCATAATTTTTTTTTTATTATTTAAAATTAATTTGAAAGACATGTGATTTTTTCTTAGTGATAGGTTTCGGGACCCACGGGACCCGAGTTACAATTCTGAAAAACGTCGGGACGGGCGGGTTCGGGCCTTAAAAATTTTATTTTGGGATGGGCGGGATCGGGGTTGGATATTTAGTCCCGTGCCGATCTCTATTTGGAGCTTACAATATAAAATTCAAGCTTGAATTGGTTTTCGCAAATAATGGCGAGCAGATTATAAGAAATGGGTGAAGTAATATGCACCTAACAGAAACAATTAGAATCTAAAGCAGTGTTTGCGTTGTTCAACTTTTACAGGCGATTAGTTGAATCAAAAGTTGAATGAGAGTTGGCTGCCGACCAACTTCATTGAAAGCGATTTGTTGAAAGGCCGTTTGCACTATTCAACACTCGCATTCAACAAAAAGTTGAACGAACAAGTTGAACCATGAAAACGCCGCTTAAGGAAAATAATATTTGCACAGTAAATCATCTTTTTTTCTTTCATTTCATTGCCACAGTTTAAGCAGTGGAAAGGTCCGAAATCAATACGTCTGTTCAATATCGAAAAATTGTTTCGAATTGTTACCACTACTTGCAAGTTTTTACTGGAATTGCGGTCAATAACCAAAAAAAATTGCAAGAGAGAGCGAATCCGAGATGTTACGTTACCCGAAAGAGCTGCAAATTCTTGCAAGTAACAAATTTAGTAGGAAGAAATTGAAGCTGATAAAAAATCAGCTCACCCTTCAAATTCAAAGTTAAACAAAGTGTTTAAGAAAAGGATTTGATGAATACATGCTAAAGACAAAATTAATAATAATAATAATAATAATAGATTGGCGCTTACACATATGTTAGTGTTTGGCCGAGCTTCTCCTCCGCTTTGTGGCGTGCGCCTTGATGTTGTCACACAAAGCGGAGGGACCTACAGTTTTAAGCCGACTCCGAACGGCGATGGTATTTTTATGAGAAGCTGTTTTTCATGGCAGAAATACACTCGGAGGTTTGCCATTGCCTGCCGAGGGACGACCGCTGTTAAGAAAATACCTTTTTTCTATATTTTTTGCGATGTTGCTTTGACCAGGGTTTGAACGCAGGTGCTGCGGAGTGGAAGCGCGCACTGCTTACCACTACACCACAGCGGCAAGACAAAATTACGGATGAATAATTTAAATCCAACGATTTTTATTAGGATGGGAAATATTCCCAACCAAAAGGAAAATTTTGCGCTAGAACTTAACCATAACAAAGTGTCGAAATGGTATAAATTCCAAGTTTTTATTAGTTTTGCATTCAATAACATTTTCTGATACTTTTCTCTTCCTCTCAAGTAATTACTGGAAAAGTTATTGAATGGACCTAATTAGAAATATTCGAAATAATTATTTAATTTTCAGTTGCCAACGAACAAGAATATGGTAAATGTTATAGAATTGTTAAGTAGTTGCAAGTAAACTTTTGTTTAGAAAATAAGCTAGTTTCGATTTTTTTTAACGACCGCAAAATTTACTTTATGAATAAGAAAACAGATGTAGGTTGGGCAGCCAAGAAAGCGGATTAGAGCGAAAACGCTGTCAATGTCCAACATCTGGTATGTATAATTCCACCATGGTACTTAATTAAAAGTAAAAATTATATAGTTATACAATGTTTAAATTTACATTTAAAATATATAACAACAAGTAAACAATTAAATTGTTTTTCGCTTTATGATCTCTTTTACAGTATCTCATTCTCCCAAATATAATTGTGATCGATTGGATAAACCGAAAAATGGCACGTGGGAAGAATGGCAGCTGCTTTTAGCGCTAACTAATGCTAATGTGGTACAAAAGTGTAGTCAACGTCGTGTAAATCTACTAAAGTATATGTTACAAGTAATAAAAAGGTATTAAACTACTATTCTAACAACGAAATCTTACAAAATAAGGGAGCCACTCAATCAATACATAGTGACCTAAGCAGCTTGAGCTGGGTAATTTCATGATTAAGTTTCTACTCAGAAGACTTACTTAGCTTATGCGCAGCATTGAAAAGCGACTAAAATGCACAATGTAAGGAGTTGATTTCTCCAACAAGTAAATTTTATCAAGCCTAATGTGAACAAACTAGATTACCAGTTTTCCTAATTACGAACAAATATTTATTACTAAGCATAGTCCGATTAACGCTTGAATTTTCACATGTATACTACTTAATGGTTAAGGAAGGAAAGTATTTTGATCTTGTTCCACTCGTCCATCCACGGCTCAGCAGAAGAATCGCAACGAAAATGTTTAAGATTCGTGAACGCAACTGTTTACTGGCGGTTATCTTATTGGTGATAACTCCCTGTCTTATCATCCTTTTCATTATGGGTCCAGAATTATCCACCGAACAGTCACTGTCACAACAATTGGCAGAGTGTCGCTTTCGTCTGCAGTACCTGGAGTCGATGTATCGGTCCAGGCAAGAGGATGTGGCAATACTTTCACAGTATTTGCATCTCAGTAATGCAACAACAATATCCATGGCAACGGTTGCACCTTTACCTCCTGGCAATGAAGCCAACGCGAGCACATCCGCAATGCCAGCAGTAGGCTTGCCTACACTTCTGAAGTCGCTGAGCCCCGAAGCGCGGCAATTGATAAAAAATGCTACACATTCACATACAACTCAACGATTTAGTTCATCGACTGCCATTCGTCTCCCGACGGCCTATAACTTTCTGCCACATCTACTCGATGATTCTACATCACTGCATCCGGCTTACATTCGTTCAAAGAGTCGTACAGATGTGAGCATTGTGTTAGGCATACCGACGGTGAAACGTGAGAAGCAGTCGTATTTGGTCAGCACGTTGCAGAATCTTATTGAAAACATGAATGAAGAAGAGCAAAATGAAACGTTAATAATAGTTTACATTGGCGAGTCAGAAGAAGAATTGGTGCATGCAATCGCCAAACAAGTCGAATTGAATTTCGAACCATATGTCGACTGTGGTCTAATTGATATTATATCACCATCGGCATCTTACTACCCGAATTTCGAAACGTTGCGTATAACCTTGCAGGACTCGTTGGAACGTGTCAAATGGCGAAGTAAGCAAAATTTGGACTTTGCATATTTGATGTCTTACGCGCAGTCGAAAGGTAAGAGCTCAGAAAAAGGTTTGCATACAATTACATCCTTATTACATATCTTGAACGATAGCCCGCACGAACGATTCGTCTGCAGACGATGCCGCCTCTGATTGCAATTTTATTAATCTATTGTTCGTATTCGTCTTGCTTTACATCGATTACGTTGCAATCGTCTCGGTTACATTTAAATCAGCTAAAATAATGTCGCTGAACTAATTTTTGAAGTATTCTTCTGCAGACGAATCGTTCGTGCTGCCTATCGTTCGAGATTCATATTAAGGCTTTTAGTAGCGATTGTGTAATGCACTTGTGTATCAATTCTTCTAAGAGTTTGCTTTGTAATTTGAAGAAAATCAAGCTTGCAATATTTCTTGAAATTTTAAGTAAAATGTATGTATACTAGACTGCATCACTCCCCATCCAAAAAAAAATCGGTACTGTTTTTCCATTGGAATTATAAAATCCTTTATATTTTAAGACGTCCACCAAAATATTTCGGCAAAATATTAAGATTGAAGCGAGCTGGACCAATTTGAAAATACCTCCAAAAATGGAGTTTTTTTTATAAATAAGAATAGTTTCTTAAAGATGTTTTTTTGAAAAAATCCCCTCAAATGTTAAGACGGTTTAAGCTTAAAAAATTTACGTAAAAATTTTTAAAAGATTGATATAAGAAAAACTTGAATAACGGAACCTAAACTCTTCCGATTTAGACTTGTGAGGTATCATTGGAAAGGTATTTTCTCACCCTTTTTGCTTTGCTAAAAAGCTTATTTAAAGGATGAAAGAGAAAGGTAGGATGAACGATCATCATTCAAAGTTGAATTAAGATGTGTTGGTATTTGAAAAAAAAAGAAAAATTGGGAGACGAATGACTTTTTTTGCACATAAATAAAAATAATGGGAAAATACCTTTCTACCGAGATCCCATAAGTCTAAATCAGTATAGTTTTGGCCCGGTTATTTAAGTTTTCCTTAAATCAATCTTAAAAAAAAGTAAAAAACAACATCAAAAATCTCATTATTACGATTTCGTTGAAAAGATTTTTAAATATTTTTATGCAGATTTTTTAAGCCAAATCTGTTTTGTCATCTGAGGGGACTTTTTCAACAAGTTCTTTAAGAAACAATTTTTATTCATAAACTCCATTATTGGAGGTATTTTCAAATCGGTCCAGCTCGCTTAAATCTTAATGTTTTTCCGAAATATTTTGGTGGACGTCTTAAAATATAATAAATTTTGTAATCCCTGCGGAAAAGCCGCAACTTTTTTTGATGATGCAGTCTAATGTATACATATCTATTCGTATTAGAGGGCTGCATGAATTCATTCAAAACGGCTTATGAATTATTCATATATAAAACGAATTAATGATTTTGACCTAAAATTTTTTGGAATTTGAGTGAATACTTTTTCTGATATATGTGTCGACATTAGAATATTCAAACAAAGTGAAAATAAATTGAATTAAAATAAATGACAATTTTTGTATGAATATCCAAAAATATTTTTTCTGTGCACATATGTACAAACATACATATCGTCATTTCAAGTGCAAAACCGCGTATGTTAAGTTTTAGAAACTATGCTCTATTCTAGAGTGTAAAAACACTCATATTTCAAAATGCTTCTCCTTTTTATAAAGCAATCGCATTTCTGGACGAATGGATAAGGATTGAGCCAAGTGCTTGTGTGAGCAAATCCAATTTTTGGCAACCAATGTCAGTTACGCGGTTTTGCAGAATGACGATACGCGGTTTTTTACTTTAAGCGACGATATGTATGTATGTATGTATTGCTGCGCTCCTATTACAATGCGGAAAACTTGTTTGTAGAAAAAACTTTTACCGAAATGAGTTTGAATGATTTGAATGTTTTCCATTCATTCATTTACATTCTTCCATTTGAAGGTAGAAATTTTGAAACAAAATGTATATTCATAACTTACAAAATTCCAAACGCTGAGTGTTTGGTATATGAAGTAAAATATTCAAATCTACTGTACTCTGTTTGGCTAGAAGTTTGAATGAATTCATGCAGCCCTCTAATTCGTATTGTCGCATTTAATTGTTGTTATTCCTTACAAAGCTATTATAACTTCATTCGTGTAAGGTTGTTGTGACAGCATAAAGGACTCGACATATACTTAGGGGCTATTCAAGTATTACGTAATGGGGTGGTGAAATAATACAAACGGCAATAACGCAAATTTGTGTTATTTCACAATTGAATGTGAAATAACACAAATTTGCTTTATTTGATTTCTCGTTGAGCAATAAGACCAACTTTTAAACTTAACAATTGAGTAATAAAGCAAAATAGTGCACATATGTGAGTAGTCACCCAGATATNCAAAAATATTTTTTCTGTGCACATATGTACAAACATACATATCGTCATTTCAAGTGCAAAACCGCGTATGTTAAGTTTTAGAAACTATGCTCTATTCTAGAGTGTAAAAACACTCATATTTCAAAATGCTTCTCCTTTTTATAAAGCAATCGCATTTCTGGACGAATGGATAAGGATTGAGCCAAGTGCTTGTGTGAGCAAATCCAATTTTTGGCAACCAATGTCAGTTACGCGGTTTTGCAGAATGACGATACGCGGTTTTTTACTTTAAGCGACGATATGTATGTATGTATGTATTGCTGCGCTCCTATTACAATGCGGAAAACTTGTTTGTAGAAAAAACTTTTACCGAAATGAGTTTGAATGATTTGAATGTTTTCCATTCATTCATTTACATTCTTCCATTTGAAGGTAGAAATTTTGAAACAAAATGTATATTCATAACTTACAAAATTCCAAACGCTGAGTGTTTGGTATATGAAGTAAAATATTCAAATCTACTGTACTCTGTTTGGCTAGAAGTTTGAATGAATTCATGCAGCCCTCTAATTCGTATTGTCGCATTTAATTGTTGTTATTCCTTACAAAGCTATTATAACTTCATTCGTGTAAGGTTGTTGTGACAGCATAAAGGACTCGACATATACTTAGGGGCTATTCAAGTATTACGTAATGGGGTGGTGAAATAATACAAACGGCAATAACGCAAATTTGTGTTATTTCACAATTGAATGTGAAATAACACAAATTTGCTTTATTTGATTTCTCGTTGAGCAATAAGACCAACTTTTAAACTTAACAATTGAGTAATAAAGCAAAATAGTGCACATATGTGAGTAGTCACCCAGATATATTTGACAAAATGTAGTACATGAACAAGTTAAATGGACGGATTTGTAAGCATACAATTTTGAAAATGCCCAGCGTCGCGGCGGTTCGTGTTCGCGCGCGGCCCCGTGTTGTTGTTGTTGTTGTAGCGGCACTACTAAGCCCCGCCATTTTCGGGTCTACTTTCAATCATTGTCGTCGAGCTCAACTAACGGGAGGCCCAGGAAACGAGCTGTTTCGATGGTTTCGGACCAGAGGGAGAGGGGTGTTAGTTGAGTCGGATTGAGCTGGCATGTAAAGAGGTGGTTGGTGTCGTGGGGGGACTCTCCACATGCTGGGCACTCATTGGGGATATTGGGGTCGAGTCTGGACAGGTAGCTGTTAAGGCGGCTACAGTATCCAGACCGTAATTGAGCCAGGGTAACGCGGGTCCCTCGTGGCAGTTGAAGCTCCGTCTCTTCCACAGGTGGTGATTGGCTCGTATTACGGCATTCATAGGTCGAGAGTCGAGGTAGGTGGTAACTGACTCGCTATGAATGTCGTTTATGGCTCGTCTGTATATCGTCGGGCCCAACGGTTGGTCTATGTACTGTTGGACTGCGTCCTGGTACACGAATAGGTGCCCCCTGACGTGCCTGGGCGGAGGCTCCTCCTGAAGCAACAGTCTGTTAGGGTGTTCACTTCTGTGACACCCCACCAGAAATTGCTTACAGAGCATTTTGTTGTGTTCCCTGACGGGGAGCACTTGGGCCTCGCTGTGCAGGTGGTGCTCAGGCGTCATCAGAAGGCACCCAGTCGCTGTCCGGAGTGCGGCGTTCTGACAAGTCTGTAGCTTCGTCCACTGCGTCCAACTAGTCCCCGGCGTCCAAACTGGCGCAGCATAGTTTAGAACCGGCCGGCCAATTGCCTTGTATGTTGCCAGCAACGTTTCTTTGTCTTTGCCCCAAGTGCTGCCGGCGAGCGACTTGAGGACCTTGTTGCGGCTCTGTACTTTATTGACAATTGCGGTTGTGTGCGTGGAGAAGGAGAGCAGGCTATCAAAGGTAACCCCTAAAATTTTCGGGTTGTTCACCGTCGGTATTGGTGTGCCGTCGACGTGTATACCCAACTCTAGCCTGACCTCCTTCGTCCAGGTGGTGAAGAGGGTCGCCGTTGATTTCGTTGGGGAGAGTGTTAGGCTCCTTGCAGTGAAGAAGCGAGAAAGGCTGGAGAGATAGTCGTTCACTTTTGAGCAGAGGTCATCAATTCCATTCCCGGACGCCAAAATCGAGCAATCGTCAGCGTATGAGATCAGGGAAACTCCCTCAGGTGGTTGAGGAAGTTTCGAGATGTAGAAGTTAAATAGTAAGGGGGAGAGAACACCACCTTGTGGAACCCCTTGTTTAATCCTTCTTGGTTTCGAGGTTTGATCTCGGAAGATTACTGACGACTGTCGACCACTCATATAATTCGCCGACCATCGCTTCAGTCCCTGTGGGAGTGAGGAGGCCTCGATGTCTTCTAGTAGCGTGGAATGACAGACGGTGTCAAACGCCTTTGACAAGTCCAGCGCTACTAGGACCGTTCTCTCACAGGGGCGGTTTCGATTTAGGCCACGAGTTATTTGTGTGTTTATGGCGTTAAGTGCTGTTGTTGTGCTGTGCACTTTACGGAATCCGTGCTGGTGCTTAGCTGGGGTCAGGTGGCAAGTGAAGTATGGGAGTAGTAGGGCCTCAAGCGTCTTCGCGACCGGGAAAAGGAGCGTTATCGGGCGATAAGAGTCTCCTTTGTTGGCGGGCTTTCCCGGTTTCAGCAGTGGGACCACTCTCCTCTGATTTCCACACATCAGGAATGATGAGAGTGGCCTATGGACAGGTTGAGGACCTCCGTAAGGTAAGCTACTCCCTTAGGCCCTAAATGTTTTAGCATCAGCATGCAGATTCCGTCGGGTCCAATGGTTTGGAGGCTTTCGGTTTCCCGATGGCCCCCTTCACTTCACAGCTGGTGAAAACAAGTGGTACACTGTTTTTTGGCAGCTTGTGGAGCCTCCTGGTCA